AAATAACATATCTGATCTAGGATCAGCAGGGACATAGAGACACGGGAGTGTGTGTGTGTGTGTGTGTGTGTGTGTGTGTGTGTGTGTGTGTGTGTGTGTGTGTGTGTGTGTGTGGTGTAAACCCCACAACTGTGAAACTCAGGTAAAACTCATGTATATTGTAAATTTTGACATTTTCAGGTAAACTTTGTGTAACAAAGTCGTTATTTTTGTAAAATGATGACCATTTGACATCCGGCACCCCACCCCCCACCCCAAACTTCAGATGCTTTGCTACGTCTCTGAACATTAGTGCAATCACCATACAACACTGACCCTTGCAGTTACGAGGGTATATATGAAGAAGAAACCCCACAGCCATGTGATGAGGTCATATCGACATGTTTCAACATTTCTTTTCAGCACTTAACAGCAGTGTCAATTGAATAGCATGTTCATGGGTTAAATTTATACCTGCATCATTTACAATGTGTCAGTCTTGTGAGCTGCCAGTAAATATTTGGTTCTTAATTTAAACAATTTGCAGATGAAAGCACAATTCAAAATCATAGTGATGCATGGCATCTACAGTACTTCAAACAACTAAGTGAACACATATTCTGATCAATTTGCTGATAATATGGTGACTGGTGATAATATTGGATAATATAGGAAGATCAGGATATTTGCACAAGTGTCAGGGCAATACAAGTTAGTGGTGTCGGTGATGACATAATTGATTTGATGAGTTCATTATAAATTCCGATGCTGTTAGATCTTACAATAAATAAAAATGTTTAGAAATATAATATAATATGTTATTAAATACATTATGTTAAATGAAGAACTTTGAATTTAAAGGTTTTATGAAATCTGCAATGCCAGCAATTCAAGAAAAGCTAATAACTTGTAAACCAGACAACAGAATATATCTGTAACAAGAAACCGGTGTAATGAAATCTTAGTGAATTACATATTAGTGCAATTTTGAAAAACAAAATAAAATTGACATTATTAGTTGCTGTATGTATTATATCATTATTAAAGTAAAACCATGTTGCTTTTAAATCAAGTGATTCTAACCATTTTGGCATTGTAAGAAAGATACTGCATCTGTTTTATTTTGACCATTCTTCTATTGTAATGATTAATTTTGTATCAAAATGAATGTTTGTGATGAATGTTCATGACAATGTGAAGTCCGGCTGTATTCGACCAGGCTGAGTAGGCTAGCCACATGTACGCAGTGCGTACCTATTTTTCAAACATTTTCTCTCCCGTAGTAAGATAAAGCATGTATTTTCCTGGTAGCCGGTCTTACTTCATGAAAAAAACAGTCTGCTACCAGTGGCTTAACAAAATTGCGGAAAAAAACCCAAAAAATGACAACTTTGCCATTTTGAGCGTGCGTAATAGGGCGTGCGCATGCACAAAGTTTTCTCACAGGATTGTCCTGGTTTTAACATAAATAAAAAAAAAAGAAGTGTCCGTGGTCGGGGCTGAATAGTACTGTGGAAGATTGGGTTGGAAAATTTACAATTAAGATCTGTATTTTTGGACAATTATTACTCTTTGAAAAATAGTATCCTACTGATGTAAAATAACATCTAAAGGGTTTGGCAACAATGATGTCCAAAGAGGATGTTAGCCCTAAAGTATATTTCATAAAATGATTTATCTTTGAAAATACTGAATTACAAGACAAGTTAAAAAAAATTTCGAGTAAAGTTTAATAATAATTTAATTGATAAGGCCATTTCCACTCAAGAAAATTTGGGGCTAATATTAGATTTAATGCATATGTCGTTCTTTGTCTTTCATTTAAAGGAAAAATACCAAACTCTCTTAACGTCTTTGTTGCCAGGAGTTGTGTAACTTTCATGAAAAAATCAAAGTCTTGAGGTTTTGTTTTACTTATATAACTAACATGTTTTTTTGGTTTTCAACAAAGTAATAATGGTCTAGAAGTACAGATTTATATTGCACATATGTTAGTAAGTTTCTTCTGTAACTGCACAATTATTGCAAAATTGTGCGCTTATCACACTATTAAAATTAGTAAGGTCTGTGAACATTGGCACAACTGCTTGTTCCCATGCATAAATTTTTAACTAATTTTTGGGATTGGATTTATTCAAATTTGAGATGATTTTGAACACATATTGGTACCAATGTTACTCATTCTATGAGTAAAATATTGTTCGTTTATACATTGTTCTAGTTTTTATAGCTTTTATTGTTTTAACAGTCGAAATATATGTTGATTTTGTTGAATTATTTGTTAATTATTCGTTCATTTTATGCATAATGAAACCCGAAATTTATATAGTTTGATGGTCACAACAAATTTGAGCATATAAAAATGTTAAAATTGTACACCAAAACACTAGCTGTAATATTTGAACTCGCTAGAATACAATTAGTTTTAAATACGTTTGAATTGAATTTCATACATGCAGTATTTCAAATGTTGTGATTGATTATCTGTTTCAAAACTTTTGAAATCATGCATACGCTATTTTAATATTAAGGTTGTCCAAGAGCAAAGCGGAACGAGCGCGAAAGGGCTGCTGGGAATCATCGCTAACAACTGAGTCGTCAGTCAGGAACCTTGTCAGCCTTTCGCGCTCGTATTCGACTTTTCCGCTTTGCTCGTGGACAACCTTAATATTGAAATAGATGTATGCATGATTTCAAAAGTTTTGAAACAGATAATCAATCACAACATTTGAAATACTGCATATATGAAATTCAATTCAAACGTATTTAACTAGTTGTGTTCTTGCGAGTTCAAATATTACAGCTAGTGTTTTGGTGTACAATTTTAACTGTTTTATATGCTCAAATTTGTTGTGACCATCAAACTATAAATTTCGGGTTTCATCATGCATAAAATGAACGAAAATTAACAATTAATTCAACAAAATCAACATATATTTCTACTGTTAAAACAATAAAAGCTATAGAAACTAGAACAATGTATAAACGAACAATATTTTACTCATAGAATGAGTAACATTGGTACCAATATGTGTTCAAAATCATCTCAAATTTGAATAAATCCCAATCCCAAAAATTAGTTAAAAATTTATGCATGGGAACAAGCAGTTGTGCCAATGTTCACAGACAATTCACAGTACTATTTGGTTTGTGGGTTCAAATCCCAAAACACTTAATTTTTATTTATATATAAAAAAAAGGATCGGATGGATCCAAAGGATCCGATGGATAAATAGATATCTATTTATCCATCGCAGCCATTGGATCCTTTTAAAACAGGATCTATTTATCCATCGCATCCATTGGATCCTTTTAAAACAGGATCTATTTATCCATCGCATCCATTGGATCCATCGGCATCCATTGGATCCTTTTAAAACAGGATCTATTTATCCATCGCATCCATTGGATCCTTTTAAAACAGGATCTATTTATCCATCGCATCCTTTGGATCCATTGGATCCTTTTAAAACAGGATCTATTTATCCATCGCATCCATTGGATCCATCGCATCCATTGGATCCTTTTGAAACAGGATCTATTTATCCATCGCATCCTTTGGATCCATCGCATCCATTGGATCATTTTAAAACAGGATCCTATTTATCCATCGCATCCTTTGGATCCATCGGATCCATTTTTTTTTTAACAACAACTTATCAAAAAAATGGATCCGATGTTTACAACGGATGTTTAGCTATAACTAAATGCTTATCCGGTGTATCCATCGGATCCATTTTTTTTTTACAACAACTTATCAAAAAAATGGATCCGATGGATACAACGGATGTTTAGTTATAGCTAAATACTTATCCGTTGTATCCATCTTTATTTTTTAACAACTACTTTATCAAAAAAATGGATCCGATGGATACAACGGATGTTTAGTTGTAGCTAAATACTTATCCGTTGTATCCATCGGATCCATTTTTTTTTTTAACAACAACTTATCAAAAAAGTGGATCCGATGGATACAACGGATAAGTATTTAGTTATAGCTCAATACTTATCCGTTGTATCCATCGGATCCATCTTTTTTTTTTTTTTAACAACAACTTATCAAAAAAATGGTCCGATGGATACATCGGATAAGTGTTTAGTTATAGCTAAATACTTATCCGTTGTATCCTTGCAAAATACTCATCGAATATACGCGAGGAAGTTTACCTCTATGGAAGGTAGACATGAACAGTGTATTATGATAAAAAAGTAAGGTCACGAAACTTGAGAAGTTGAAGTTGCAATGAAGAGAGGGTTAGTATGATCCTGATAGGTTGGAAAATAAATAAATAGCTAAAATGAAAAAACTAGCTAAAAATGCGCGAAAAGTAAAGGCTATATAGCCTTTGCCATACATGGCTAAAATGATAAAATATATATCTGATAAAACACTCCTACGCGTGCTTAAAAATAGTACGTATAATTTGATCTTACTGAGGGCAAAAATACGGAGGTAAAAATATTATAAATGTAGAATAAAAAACTATAATTAGACTAGTTCTAAGAGACTTGATATAATATTTGTATTACCTTGGATTTCTTAAGTTGTAAGTATTTGAATGCTTTGTAGGCATAAGGAGATGGTGAATTATATGTTTGTCATTCACTGTTGTTTTGAAGACTTTAGTACATATTAACTTTCTTTCTAGCGAACTCTCGATCACTTTTACCTAAGATTGATGAACTGAAAACTATTTTGCATATAAATGAGGTTGGGTTGGCCTTCATAACTGAGACATGGCTAAACGAAAATATTGATGACGGTGCCGTTGAAATTAGTGGCTTTTCCTTAGTTCGGCGTGATAGAATTTCTAGAATCGGGGGTGGCGTTTGTGCTTATATTAAAGACCAGATTCCTTTTAAAATCTTAACAGATTTGCATGAAGACAATTTTGAATCACTTTGGCTTTACCTGAGACCAAATAAACTTTTCCGTGGCTTTTCCTGCCTGATTATCTGTGTGGTCTATCACCCTCCCTCCAATGATAACTGTGCCTTAATCGATCACCTAACATCTAAACTTGACGCTGCTCTTATATTGTACCCCAACGCTGGTATTTTTCTCATTGGAGACTTTAATAAATGCCCAATTTCCTCCCTACTACGTCATTTTACTTTGAAACAGATAGTTAAAGAACCCACAAGAGGAAATTCCACATTGGACTTAATTTTGACAAATATGACTTCCTGTTGTAACTCTCCGGTGTTATTACCCCCTGTCGGCCAAAGTGACCATAATTCCGTACTGTGGTCCTTTAATAAAAATACAGCTAAATATGGTACATCAAAAGTGAAAACTAGACAAGGTAACAATCATGACAGGAGGGCATTCGGTAAGTGGCTAGCTGATATAAACTGGAACAACTTGTACCGCGCTGAATCATGTGAACAAAAGTTAGATTTTTTTCAAACAGTTATAAATACTGGTTTGGACTGTTTTTCCCTAGTAAAATTGTAAAGTTGCACGATCATGATAAACCATGGGTTACAGTCGGATTTAAGAAAATTATAGAAAATAGACAAAGAGCGTTTCGTCAGGGCAAAAGTCCGCTATATCGTAGATTGAGAAATCTTGCCAATAGAGAAAGTAAGAGACTCAAGTCAACCTTCCTTAAGAAAAAGATGGATGAGTTAAAACTAAACCCCATGCTAAAAAATGGTGGCAATGTATAAAACAGCTTGCGGGTTTCGCCACGAACAAAACATTCTCTAATTTCGTTGTAAACAACCAGGTTTTTGCTGGTAAAGAGTTAGCAGATAAAATCAATGATGTTTTTGTCTCATCTACCCAAGATATTCCTCCCTTGAATAAGTCTCCAGTTGATGACCTAATTGAAAATGGCAGTACAAGTATCCTTCCACAGTTTATTATCGAAGAAAAAGATGTATACTGTAAATTGTCCGCCATCCCCGTTTCCAAATCACCTGGTCCTGACGGAATACCTAATTGGGTGCTTAAATCTTATGCATACGTTCTTTCTTCCCCTGTGGCATCGATTTTCAATGCTTCGATTCAAGAAGCAGTTGTACCCTCAATGTGGAAAAAAGCGAACGTTATCCCTGTTCCAAAAAAATCAGTCCCTAAAGACATTTCTAAAGATTTGCGCCCTATCTCACTTACCCCCACTTTATCCAAAATTTGCGAACGGTTTGTTACAGACTGGTTACTTAAGTCAATTGGTGCAAAGATTGATACGCGGCAGTTTGGCTCCGTTAAAAATTCCTCGGCTACCCATGCCCTAATGAGCCTGATCCATCACCCCCTGAGTGCTACAGATGCTTCAAGCAATGCGGTGAGAGTATTCTTGCTTGATTTTGAAAAAGCTTTTGATCGAATAGATCACAACATACTGGTGAATAAGCTACAACAAATGAGTGTTTCCCAAACCAGTATAAATTGGATTAGAAGTTTTCTCTCTGATCGTAAACAACGAGTCAAGTTGGCTAACTGTCATTCGGACTGGCAAACGTTAAACGGTGGAGTGCCGCAAGGGTCGGTGTTAGGGCCGGCTTTGTTCCTTGTTATGATAAATGATCTTCTTATTGATTGGGGCGATAGATGGAAGTATGTTGATGACAGTACGTTTGCTGAACGAGTTACATCAACTGAGAGTAGTGAACTACAAGATCTAGTGAATGTTATCTATAATTGGTGTGAAGTTAATAATATGAAGCTCAACATCGGCAAATGTAAGGAAATAATAATTGACTTTGCAAGAGAAAAACATGAGTTTTTACCGTTAACTATAAATAACGTTGGTATTGAGCGGGTAAAATCTGCCCGAATTCTTGGTCTCTCAATCCAAGATGATTTGAAATGGAACGACCATGTGAACCATATTGTTAAAAAAGCGGGAAAACGCCTTTATATGCTAAGGTTGTTAAAACGATCAAATATCGAAAAACTCCAGAAGCGGGCTCTGCGTATTGTCTTGCCATTCGCTACTTATAGAGAAGCTTGCAGTATTACTGGTATACCCTTACTGAAAGATCGGCGGCGATTATTATGCGAACGTTTTTTGTTAAAAATGCACATGGAGACAAATTGGGTGACCTCTTACCGCCTAAACTTGAACATAACTATAATACACGTTATGGAAGCGATTATAATAACTATAGTTGTAAAACGGACAGATTTATGAAATCGTTTTTTCCACAGATGGTTTCACATATGAATAGACCATAATTTTAATATTTTTAATATTTTTAAATTTGAACTCTATAACTTTTTCAACTGAAGTTATGAATAATTTTATGCATCTAGATATTCTATTGTAGTATAATGAGACTTTTTACCGATGTAATTTAACCTAATAGGTTACAAATCGGTATTTTATTAAATTATCAAATTATCAAATAAATTATCAAAATTATCATTATCAAATCTCTAGCCTTCTCATCACCATAGATAATGGACTTGTGATGTTTGTTTATGATTTTTCGTATGTCTGGTCCACGCGGATTATACTTAGTAACTAAACAACAATATCCTTCATTGGACTTTTTCGTACTTTTGCGTGCACGCATATATATATATATATATATATATATATATATATATATATATATATATATATATATATATATATATATATATATATGAAATCCATCAACCAATCAGACGTTCCCACAGACTTCAACAACGTCAACAACAGCGCGAAAATTCAAATGATCAATCTTTCTGATGAAGGCTCGAAGTACCGAGTCGAAAGCTCAAAACAAATAATTACAATCCGGAGAACACTGTATAATTTTGTAAAAATTATAATTTAATAAAATGCCTGGATTACAAATCTTCAAATCTATTATATATATATATATATATATATATATATATATATATATATATATATATATATATATATATATATATATATATATATATATATATATATATATATATATATATATATATATATATATATATATATATATATATATATCGATGTAATGTAACCTAGCATCATTCCTGATGATGACTGAATCTTAGTCGAAAGCTAGAATATTATTAAAATGTTTATTTTCGGAGTTACCGTTGTTTTATATTTTATTAAAATACTCAGTGGTTCCCGTATAATAACCTTTTTGTTTAGTAATTTAATAAAAGAAGTTTTGAATAATTTTGTATATATATCGCATTTTACTTATGTTAAATTCCAATTGTATTTATGCATGTTTTGGGTGTTGAAAAAGTGGCATTGAAATATTCTGGAGTAAATTATACTTTTTTACAAGGAAACTAATATAAAGTTACATCAGTGAATTCAGGAATGTTTACTCTTTATATTGATACTTTAAAACATTAATTTACTCCATAAAACCGAAGAGTTATCGCGGTTTGAAAATTAGCTATTTTTGCTATATTCGATAATTAGCAAAAATAGCTCATTTTCAAACCGTGATAACTCTTTGGTTTTATGGAGTAAATTCATATTTTATAGTATCATTATAAAGAGTAAACATTCCTGAATTCACTGATGTAATTTTATTTTAGTTTCCTTGTAAAAAAGTACAATTCACTCCAGAATATTTCAATGCCACTTTTTCAACACCCAAAACATGCATAAATACAATGGGAATTTAAGTAAAATGCGATATATATACAAAATTATTCAAAACTTCTTTTATTAAATTACTAAACAAAAAGGTTATCAAAACATACCTTTGAGAAAACGAGATCTTCACAGCAAAAATCGCAATATATTGCAACAGTTTTTAATCGAACGGCGCGTTGAGAATAAATATCTTGAATAATAATGAGCCGCACTGATTCGCGCGTTTCATTTCGGGAAGAC